ATCTTTACAATCGCGACGATCTCTTCTTCTCATAAGAAAATAATCAATTTGTGTTTTATTAGATCCACTCTTATAAGTAATAAGATGTTCATCCCTTTTCTTGAATAAAGTATTAGTAATAACAAAATCAAACGCTAAAGCAAAATCTAAAATAACTTTACCTTCTTCATTAGTTACTCCAAAACCGTAGCCACCATGAATATTTCTGAAATCTTCTACCACTCTACCGACATGTCATTTAAATCTCCTCCAATAAAAATTCTTTCTTCAAGAGGTATCATTTGTATTAAGTCTTCTAAGTCATTCCAAAATTTATCTTTAGACTCTGTATTCAAACCTACTTGAGGAGCATAAATACTTATAATATTAAAAATCTTAGTATCAATGATAATCTTAAGGGCTATAATTCTATCACCAACTCTATTAATTTTTACAACATTATTTTTTAAACTCTTATCTATAATTACACCTACACCATTTCTAGTGCGACTCTTACCAGAATACCAAAGTTTAAAACCTAAATTATCAATCTCCTTAGACTTTTCTCCAACCCACTTAGTTTCTTGAATACATAAGATATTAATTTTCCTATGAATCATAATATCAACTAATTTCATTAATTTACCATTGAGAGTGTCTATATTCCAATATCCTATCCCAATATTAGTTTCATTAGTTTTATGGACTAACTTCTTTACCCGCATTCGCCCGTAATGTGGGAACGCTTGCTTATTTAACACTACACCCGGGCGCCGGTGTAGCAGCCCTTGCACACTTTTCACTGTATTCAGGCTATACAGCGCGTCGCTTCCAGGGGACGCCCTAGCACTTACACAATGATCAAAAGGATTCATGTCATGATTTTTTTGACAAGTTTTACGCTGGCTGTCGACTACCTAACGCAACCCTCCACTTTTCTCATCCGGGCTTGGGACCGCCAACTAATCCAGCAAAATTTTTATTATCTTATTTGGATCAACAAACTTCGTTCGAGTAAATCTAAAGACCAACCAAAGAACCCTCAAGTGCTTTCAGGCCACATTAAAAGTAATGATCAAAATCTTCAAGCATGTGAGCATCAGAGCTTCAACTGCTACGACTTAGGGCTCCAGAATCCTAAACCCTAATACCCATTGCTGCAATGCAGATTCAAGTGATCATTCACACATAAAAGCGACAAACACGACTTCTCCTGAAAAGAACTCAAAATTTGTTTGAAATACGAGTACGGTCCAGCACAAACCCTAATTATAAGATCGAAAGTGCAACCCAAGCTCCCACTAATCAGAACGAAATGCTTAAGAATAAAACAACTGGGCAGAGGGTTTACGATTTTTGTAGGCTTTGATGAAACTGTGGGGGAATAGTAGCGGCAGTAGCCGATTCGCGTGGTCCCTCCTGCACCATCGGCCGCTCTTCTTTTATATCTTGTTTGTCGTGTTGACGCTCATCGTCTTCACCGGCCTCTTCGTCCTCGGAAGATGAAGTGTAATCCACTAGCGACATGGTTCTCTCTCGCTTCAATACACTGTCGCTCGTGCTCCTCTTCCGACTCCGAAGAAAGAGCTTGCGATCCTAAATTGCAGACGAGAAATTCTGGGAGAAATTGATTTGATAGCGAAACCCGTAGGGCCACGGGTATGTGAGTCCAGCCATCTCATTAGCCGCTCGTGCTCGGCTGCGCTGCCTACTTCTCAGAGAGAGAGAGAGAGAGAGAGAGAGAGAGAGAGAGAGGATATAACCTCCTCTGATCTAATTGTTAAATTTTACATTTTTATTTTCATATATTTGTAGGTTATAGGTATGTTACAAGTATGTTACAAGAGGGTTACAGAGGATACAACACGGATATAACCCCCCAAGACCCTCTGAATAACTTCTCTGACATACGTAGTGCAACGTACGTAGGTAAATTTTTCTCCTCAATAAGATGATTGTGAAATGAGTTTGATAAGCTAATAAGTCAATCTCAAGTCAGCCCCAAGCTCGTGAGCTGATTTGCTTAGAAAAATTAATTTAAAATATATTAATTTTCATAACTTTATCTTGAAAATATTAAAAATATTTAAAATAGAAATTTTGTTAATGATATATTAGGTGGTTATTTATAAATTATCTTCTAATTATTTATTTTATTTGTGATCTTATTATAAAGATACCTTAAATTAATATCAATGTTCTATCTTTTATATTAAACAAGTCGGCTCTCAAGCCTCTCAAACTCTTAGACTGAAGTTCGAGCTCAAAATTGATAAAATTAATCAAGCTTAAGCTCTAGCTTGGGGTGGCTCGAGCTCAACCCGACTCGTTTACACCTTTACGTAGTGCCAACGAGCTAAACACATAGAAATTTTTTAAGTTTTGAAAAATAAACTAAATGAAAACAAATAAATATTTATTTGATTGTGTTTAACTTGAATTGATTTATATCGAAAATAATTTGTTATACTTTGAAATAAAGGTAAACAGGGGGAAACATCACTTTACTATTCTATTTTTACAAAACGAATTTGTATATAGAAGGTTTTATTGAAAAATTTTGTTCATGATAAATTCTATAAATGATTGCATCAATCACATGTTTAATAGAGCATTCAATATCGTTTGATATGATTATAATTTCATGATACCAATTATGACTAGGATTGTAAACGAATATTGTAATGGTTATTTCTAAAGAGGTTACAAACATTATGCATAATGATCGACGCTCGAGAAGGATTTATCATTTAAGTTATATGAGTGCATATGCATGAAAATAAATGTTTTTTAGAGGTTATATATTCTTTGACTATGATCCCCCAACAACATTTATCAAATTATAATTGCACGTGTTGATTGTTTGCCATCATCACTCATCTTAGGAAGCTTAACTCTTCTCATCCATGTATGATTGTCTCATCATTGCTACCTAACTATGGTTGCCTAACAACTGCTTCTCGACTATGACAGCTAGACCACAACTACATGACCATAGTCGCCCAATCTCTATTGCTTAATTATAGTCACATGACTATCAAACCTCAACCATCGTAACTTAGCTTTGATAACCCAACCATTATCACTTAAATGTGGTTGCTTGTCTGCATTTGTTATACCTCTGTTATATTTATATGATCACGTGATTATAATCACCTTAATCACTATTCATTATATTTCCAATTACAACCACCCTACCATTGTCCGCTAACTATATTTGTCTAATCATCATCGTCTATCTACAATCATTTTATCTTTGTTGTTTGTTTACAATCTTTGAACAATCACTGATCCTACAATCTTCAAATTATATCACTCACCGTCACATATAACAATTGATGCACACCATTGATTGTATGATTGCTGATATGGCCTATGCATGCAATTTACATTGATAATATGCTCAACTTATTGATATCTTAATTTCTCTCCTTGTAGAAAAATAATTGAATGAGCTATATCTTGATCTCTTGAACATGGTACCAATGCCAACATGGTCTTCCAACTCCCGCCGAGAAAACCATTTGGCAAGATTCATGCCCGCTATCTTATTCTAACCATATTACATCATGCATCATCATTTGCAGCATGAGATATAAGTCACAATATAATTTTAACTATATCGAGCCCTACAACTTTTCCCCAATGATTTTTTCACCTCTAATTCAGGTGGTATGAATCACTATAAATTTTATTGCACGCAATAATGTTAAGTGAAAAGTATTTTAAAATTTTATGATGCATGACGCGAACCCCCCTTGTTATTGTATGTGCAACTTTCACAACATACGGCTCGCACAAAGACTCCTCAATTTTGTTATGATTACATTAACGTCTGAGTTATCTTGTGAGGCAATAAAAGTGTATGATAATCTCACTCGTTTCAAAATAATTAAAAACAAAAAACATGGCATCAATAAAATAAAAATGTATGCCAACCTAATCCTTGTGAGCTCAAATTTTCATATCCACTCATTGTAAAAAGGAAATATGAGATCTATATCCCTAAAGCCTTATTTATATGTTAAATTAGTACAAACATTTAGAAAGAAGTTATTAAAATTATGCATTTCATTAGCAAACCATTGTATATTTATAGAATGAATCCGAGTTTTATTTGTAATCTCTTGGGAACAATTTTAAAATGAAGTAAGAAGGACATCGTCAATTTTTGGGTGTTATGCAAGAAAAAAAATCCCGTTTGAAAGTCCGCACGTCCGGATAGTCAACCACCAGTAGTCACGTTGCTCGTTGCTGACGTGTATGACAACATTTCTGCTGGTGGTTGGCCGTACGGATGTGCGGTGTCTGGACGAAATATTTTCTCGTTATACACATATGTATTTGTCCCAAATACAAAAAAAATTTGAATTTTTAAATATTTGATTACTTGAGTAGCTTGAAGCATTTCATAAATTAAAACGATAAACCTAATTATAAATTCAGAAGAGACGTGGAAGCCAAGATGCATGCCAACCTTACCTTCAAATTGAGCAAAATTGATTAAATTTATATTATTTTTTTAGTCATTTTAAATTATTATTAGCCAATTTGATACTCATACATCATTGACCATACAAATATATGCAAAATATACTAACACTAGTTATAATAATGATAAACGAAAGTATATACTATATGTTGAATCCAAAATTATATGGGAAACATGCCCAAGAAATGTAATGTTCTATTAAGAGGCAATTAAGAGAGAGAGAGAGAGAGAGAGAGAGAGAGAGCAATAGTAGACTAGCCAAAAAAGGTCAATCTTTATTCATAATATGGATCCCTACTTATAGGTCTAGATCCAAACATATCAAAAAAATGTCAGCGCCCTAATCATTAAACTTTATGGGTGATTTTTTGATAATTTATAAGATTATTTGCATATAATAAAGCCTGAGACTCACTCGATTGTTAAATGTCACCGATTGTCTGACATAAATTGGTTCGATCGATTCATGGCTCAAAGGAGTTCTCCCCATCGATTGATCCATAGGTTGATGACCGTCTTAAGGGCTTCCGTTCGTCACCTGTTGATCTCTTAGGCGAGGGATTTCCGTCGCCGCTCATATGGAAACGATCGTCCATTGCCTTATCTGATCGATCATACTTACTTCATGAATCACCAATCTAGTTTGAGATTCTTGCATAGACATTTTATGTGTTCACCACATATGCAATTCATGCATACTCATATGCATACATAATTTACTAACAAAATATTTCGAACAAATCAAGATAATTTAAATCCTTTTTATAGTAAGAAAACGTTGACGAAGTATCTTCATATAATTTATATTTGAATGGCTTAAAAATATTAGATTCATTTTAAAATTAGTAGTATATATCAAGAGTGTGTATTATACTAATCTTAAAACTTATATAATAAAATTTAAATTCATTATAACATAATTTGAATATAATATCCAAAACAAAAATTTACAATCCTTCTTATTTTATACAATTTTAATTTATTGGATTCCTCGATATAATTCAAATTTAATTAGAAGAGTCGCATGCATATCAATTAATTCTTACGTAATTATATATTTAATAAATAAATAAATAAATAAATATATATATATATATATATATATATATATATATATACATTTACACACATGAAAAGATGTAAAATGTAAATATGATATGAAAAATTTTGGTGGCAAAAATATATATATAAAAAAGGTATAGATGTAATTGCGTAAATACATAAAGTTGAATTCCTCGATGCAAATGCCCCCTTCAACCTTCGCCCTTCCCCAAACTTCAGTGCCCACAGGCACACTAGCTCTCGCAGAGATCTCCGAAGAAGGAAGCGATTTCGAAGAAAAAGGTAAGCTAAATGGAAAAACTGGAGGAGATTAGTAGCTCAAAGATGTTCGGCGGCTATAATCGGCGCTTTAGGCATTTTAGTCCAACCCTCGGCTGCTCGATGACCTTCTCCATATACTTCCCCCCTTCTTCCCCATCTCAGAAGATCCCTGTAAGCAATTTCCATTCATTTTTGTTGCACTGATCTATACCCATTTAAGCATGCAATGAATGTCTCTTGCTGCGTTGAATCTTTACCCTTAATTGCATTTTTGTGGCTGTTAAAATCGGCTTGTTGTTAGCCTGAGTGAGTTAATATTAGCTGCCATTTCGTGCTGGCTAGTTTGTTGCTGCATGGATTGAGACTATTGGCAGGCTTTGATCAGTTGCGAGCTAGGTTTGTTGCTCAGGGATCGGAGGGATACATTTTGAGGAATCCTTTGTGTCGGTAGAAAAACATGAGGCCGTTAAATTGATCATTGAATTTTCATGTTTTATGGACTTCTTAATTTTGCCAGTGAATGACTGAAGTGCATTCTTGAATGGGTATGATGAGCTTAATATTATATGTCTAGAAAAATGCTTTAGCAAGAGTAAATTATATATTACTCTTCTCCAACAAGGGAAAAAATTACATACTTCTGATTAAGACTTATGTGGGTGTCATTGATTGAAAGTTTAAATGAGTATTATTCTATTGATTTTATAAGTATAATGAGTAAAGAATTTGAAATGAGAATGATGAAGAACTCTTCTTCTATTCGGGGCAAGTGATGCAACAAGGATTATTTATAAAGTTTGACTAAGAAATTTAAATCATGAGATTGTTTAGCAAGTTGGATATGGATGAAAATGGTAAATCTGTACATGCTAAGCTTACGAAGGCTTGATAGGCTCTCTTATATGGTTCATTAGCTGTTGGTTTGATATCATTTTTATTTTTTCTGCTTGTTTTCTGGCCAACCCAAAGGAATTACGTCTAACCACAATAAAACATATATTTAGATATTTTATGGGCACCCAGGCTAGGTATTTGGTATCACTCATGAGACTCAATAGCTCATTCTGATGTGGATTACACTATGGGCAATGCTGATTATAAAAAAGTCTCACACACATGTTAGTTTTTGCAATCACGACTCATTAGTTAGTCTAATATGAAGCACGTTTATGTTGTTTTATCCATTATAGATTCAAAGTATATAGTTGCGAGAAGTTCTGTAATATAGTTTCTTTTGCTAAAAAACTAATTGGAGGATTATGGAACTAGGCTAGAATACATTCTTGTGAAATGTGATTACACCAGCGCTTTATCAATTTATTTGGAATCATCAATTTATCAGGAATCCAATTCAACAACGATGTACCAAACAAATTAAGATTAATCATCACTTCATTCAAAACCATGTTACCCGGTGTGATATTGAAATTTAATTTGTTAGTATTGGTCATTTGTTTGCAGGTAGTATCATCAAACTGCTAGCCCAATGTTATTTTTGTGATTCAAAACATAAATTAGGACTTTTTAAGCTTTGTTGATAATTTAAATATATTTTTGTTGTTTTTTTTCTTATTTGTTGGATTTAAATACTAGATTAATTTCATATATATTTATTGACTAAATACATATCTATATCTAATAATAATTTTATTTAAGGTGCGTTGAGTGGAAAATGTGCAATCTTATGGCTTTGAACCTACACCTTCCCTAATAAGAATTAAATTCTCAATCACTTGAGGAATTGTGCAACATTGATATTGAACTTATATCTATGAAAATTAATTTTATTTTGAATTCTAAATGATAAAATAAATTTTGAGCTTAATTGTGTATTTATGTATGTATAAAATAGGGTCTTATTAGCGATATGTTTCACTTCTTAAACTCAAATTGCATGTTTTCTACCTCGCTCTAGATGTTTGCATCTATGCTTTCATCTCTCACTTATTGTCCTCACATCTTATGTATGTGTGCATGCATGCATGTATGTTGCATGCTTTCTGTATGCTACATGTTTTCTTTTTTGCCGCACCTCTAGATGTTTTTATGTATGCTTTCATGTCATTTCCTCACAACATGTTTGTGTGTTTCACTCATTAAAATTAAACTGTTTGTTTTCCTCCATGCCTCTATACGTTTGCATATATGCTTTCATCTCTCACTTGTCCTCACACCTTGGTCACCCTGGGCTCTTTTTTCATGAGCCCAAGGTATAATTTCTTCATTTTTTTGGTTATATAATACATGTTACTTTATAGATCTTATATTGATGAATTTTGTCATTTTGTGGTTTACTCATTTCATCTTATTGATTTTACTTGGAAAAAATTTTTAAGAACTTCAAAATTTATGGAAGTACATTTTTCTCGATTAATTGGGGTTCTGAACTTATCAAAGTACCCATGTTAAATTATCAATTCATCTCAAAACCAATCTTACCCTATCATATGCAATGCAAAAATAAATATAACTCATTCATCAATTGCACACTCATTTCATTCATTTTTTTAGTATTGATCTTGAAAGCATTTTTCAGCATAGCACACCTTTTTGTTCACCCTTAACTTGAGTTTTTAATAGTAATATGATTTTCTTTTTGGATGGAATGTATGTTAGAACTTTTGTTTATGATTTTAATGTCATTTATACTCGTGAAAATTGTGTTTGATTTTCCTATATTTCCATTGAAGGGCCTAACTTTGGTCTATTAATGAGAACCAACCTGATTTTCATTGTTCTAACATCAAAACAGCAACAGGACAAATCATTTTTTACCAAATCCCATCATAGGGATATGATCATGTTCTAATGTACGCTATCTTTGCCAAGGTGGCGATTCAAGCTTTATCACTAATATTCTTGTTTTTTGGACCTATTATTGTTTGATTAGCACTGAAGTTGACATAGGCTTTGCATTACTCTTTATTTTTGTCAATCTTTAAAAATTAGAAGATCTGAAATGGAGACAACTTGCAAACTTATATTTGGTCATATTATTTAAACTGTCGTCTCCTTCAAGCATAACATTCCATTTGAAGGCATGCCCATTTATGAGGCCCTTGGTGCCTCCGTTCACAAGACTTTTAAAACTTGCATCTTGGTCAAAGCTTATTGCTCTAGGTGTGAAAAGAAGATGATGATGATTAGGATGTTGATGATTTAGAAGTACCTAAAACAGGTGGAATTGATAAATATTTAAAGGTTCACTCATGTAGAAATCATACAAAGTGTTGATTTTCATGAGTTCCATCATTATATGTTGTTTAGCTTTTGGTTTTTCTGTGTAAAATACAACAATGATGCCAACTCCTATTTGAACAAGAACGTGTTCTCTCTACTTCAAAAAATATATCGAGTTTCTCTTTACCGTATGGTTTCAGTGAAGCCCAAGGAATTTTAATATTCATATACGTAGTTCTAAAATTTTCTCTTAGTGATATTTTCTTTTACTTTGTTATTGTTTATCTTTGTTGCCTTGTTGCTCTTCTTATCCAACCATTGCCCATCATTGTTTCTCCTTTCCGTTGGTTTTTTATTCTTGCATGTACTTGTTATTGCCTGCAGTCAACATCTTTATTTCTTGTTTCCATCATGGTTACCATGCAACCGAGTTAATATTTTTTTTATTGTTTATTTAACTTGCATGCTAAGCTGCTGTGCTATGAAGTGTCATTGATTGCTGTTTTCCATAGTGACTTGCCTATGATTGCTCATCCATGACGACACGCCACCTATAAGAACATGCTATTTGGGGTTATATAAGACTGTTTTCCAAAATTGGTCACTTATAAAGAATTTGCTTTTTGTCGTCTGCATAATCAGATACTTTAAGTTGGATACTATTTGCTTTTATTACTTAGAAGTGGGGAATGGATGAAAATCTAGAACGCGGCAACACCTCCCAAGCGTGCTACTTGACTTCATTCACACTAGCCTTTCGCTTTCCATAGCCTTTAAACACAACATGAATTTGATTAATAAGTTTTCCCATTGCTGAAGCATGTTGGCTATGAAAACTTGTCATTTCTTTTGTTGACCGTTGGCTTCTACATTGTCTTTTCTTAAGACGAGAATTAAATCTTAAGGGACTACTAGTTAATAGATTTAAGTTGGATTTAACTTAAATGTTGTCATACTGAAAAAATGGCAACTTTGAAATCCTGAATTTAGTAACTTCAATTTCTTCTTGTTTTGACCTAAATCCCAGATTTACTAAATTCTTGTATTGGTAAGATTGAGTAAATCCATTCAGTATATTCGGATTTATAGGATTACTAAAGTTGCTAAAATCGTTATTGCACAACTCCTTAGGGTTTCTGTTTCTTTTTCTTAGAAACACAGGACAATGAATGGTTTCTTAACTCATCTATAGAAGAAATGAGGAGTTTAAGTGCGAATTAAGATGATGCATCGAAATAATTATTTTCAAAACGAAATTCATGTTAGCTGTTTTGGATAATTCATATTTCTCATGTGTTGTTTAGATGTATACTCTTTAAAAATAATTTCATAACTATTGTTTCCTTTATCAATCTTTTTTACTGATGTTTGCAATGCACTACCGACAAAAATAAAGTGACAAAATGATGAGGAAATATGAGTGAGGAATAGATTCATTTTGATTATTTATTTTACTTGTACCCTTAACTCATGGGGGTGGCGGGCTTTATGTTTAAGTGAAAGAGTCATGGTATATTAACAAATTATATGAGGAGGCTTCTTGTTAAACTGGACAATGTGGCTATGAGTGTGATGCTAGGAATGTTTTTGGTGTCTTAGTTCCACTTTAACATTTTATTCAACGCCTATATTGTACCTGAGTTGAGTTACCCTGCATAGTAGCAGCTGTATGTTATTCCAATAGGCTTTCATAAATCTGCTTGAACTGGAATGTTTGGAGTTATCCAGCGTAGTAGCCTCTGTATAGCATTCCAATGTGTTTCATAAATCTGCTTGATGTGGGACGTGTGATTTAAAATGGTCTCAGACTCATAGTAACTGTGTCTTTGTAAAAAGCGCCCCCAAGTCAAATATCATAGTAACCGTGTCTTTGAACCTAAAGAAGCTGCTTCAATGCATCACAGCTTTAAATTGCCATAAAAAAATAAACAATTATATTAATTTTTAACAAATGATTCAAATTTTTATTCATTACACAAGTCTTTCCCAAGGTATAAACATGCAATTTTTTTTTTATTGTTTGCAGGCCATCATTCATATTAAATAAGACATTTTATATTTATGCATATTTAGGATGAAGTTTGTTATAGAATTTTAATCTTCTTATTTCTGACAATTTTATGGAACATTTGTTTTAGTTGAAGCTCTGTTTATTAAGCTTATGCTACTTCTATTCATAATTTGTTTTGCATGAGCTGCTTTTATTTATATGTTGAAGTATATAACTAGTTATTTTCACGTAGTATACAACTAGTTAAAATAAGTTACTGTTGGCAGGTTCTTTATTGGCTATCTGGTCTTACATGTAATGATGAGAATTTCATTATGAAATCTGGAGCTCAGCGAGCAGCTTCTTCTGAAGAGGTTGCTTTGGTTGCGCCTGATACTTCTCCAAGTGAGATACAACCTTTTGTAAATACGAATCTATGTTCTTTGAAAGCCATTTTCTCTGTATATACTAAACTAAAGCTCCGTTTGGTTTGGCATAGCTTTTAGTTTTCTGTTGTTGCTACCTTTAATAGCAGCATTTTTAGATGTTTGATACGAGATAAGTAGTACAATATTTTGAAAGATGAAAAGTAGCTTTCTAAGAATGATATTTAGGTAATTTCCCAGTGGTGTCATTTAATGAATTCTATTTGATCATAGCAGCAGCTCTATAATAACTTTTACAAAAAAAAAAACTTATTTATTATTCAAACATCCAGTCCTTGCACGGTATAGCACCATGCAACATCATGATATACAACACAACGAAAGACAACCATGTTAAATGAAGCCTAAGGTATAATAATGTTTTATGGTCTCTTATATGAATCAAATTTTAACATTCTAGAAGACCGAGAAGACCTTCAAAATGAACCGAAGTTGAGTGCAGGCAACAAACCTTGATGTGTGTTCTAGCTGGAACTATCTGCTCACTTTGGAACTCGGAAACCTTTGATTCATGAAAAAAAACATCGATCTAGTAGTTTTTAGTTTTAATTTTATAATTTATTCTTGAAACTGCAATAATCATCTTCCAAGGGCTTCTCTAGGATTTTGCAATTGAAATCCTTTGAAGAAGGGTTGGTTTTATGAGTTTCAGCAAGTGGAATTTCTGAGGCGTTTTACTTAAACGTAGGACAACTATGCTGAATCTTTACTTAAACTTAAGACAACTACGCTGACGAGGATGCCATTATGACCGGTAGGATTGGCTAGTGTCAATTTTATGCAGTACATAGGTTGTGGAAAATTCTTTGTGATGATTGGAGATTTTTTTCTTCTTCTTATTTTCATTTAGAACACTTTTTCATTTTATTCTTCCTACTTCATGATTGTTGCAGTAGTTCTTGATATGTCTCGCCTTCATAGTTTGCAGCACTTTTAAATACATTTTAAAGTGATATTTTGCACTTTTTGCTCAATTAACTAGATATTATTAAGTGTATATATATTTTTATTTGTAGGGGGACTAAACATTGATGGAGAGGCAGACAGCTGGGACTTCGGTGTTGGTAGGAATGAAATCATTTAATTGATATTAACATTTGACTTTTTAATTGATAATTTTTCATAATTGGTCTCTCTCATGCTTTTTCAACCATTTGGTCATCCAAAACGCAACCTTGACATTTTCTTGCTCCTGTTTTTGTGATCAAGTTAAATGCTTAGTGTTTAAGGAAATTTTACAAATCAGTTGTTTTTTTATAAGGAGACTTGAACATTTCCGAGTAACTGATTTTTCTTATTTAACAGGAATGCATGCAATTCCAAATGAAACCATAAATCTGTTTTTGAAATTATAAATCCACATTGTTATTAATTAAAAACAAAAAATTGGAGATTTTTCTGTGCATTTTATTAAGATTTATTTGTTGTGTGATTCGAAATTGCACTTCTTGCATTCTTTAAGCTTCTGTAATTATAGATGCAAGTCAGCAGTGGCATAAAATATCTAAATTGACGGTATTCTCCTTAAATATTGTGGAGCCCAAAATTTAGTAGAAGACCACCATGTTACTTGTTTGATAATGCTAGATTGAATAGATTGATAGTCAAACAGAGAAGTAAAATTAAAATAATATCCTTATGAATTCTTATGCTAATTACATAGTATGGTTTTTTTTTCTTACATGTAAGAAAAGAAGTGAAATGGAACTGCATGGAAGTTGATTATTTCAACTGTTTGGTTGTAGGGGGAAGTGGAAAGTGACTTCTTCCTTGGAAGTGTGTAGTATATTTCTTAGTCATTTAACTTTTTTATTTATGTTTCTGAAGGTATGCTTCTAGAGATCATCAAAGGTGATAATCTTATCTTTCTAGAATTAAAGTGATCTAGGATGGTTGTAGGCCTTAGGGTGAAATAACAGAGAAGTAGACATGAAGAAGTAGCATTTTTTTGGTGCAAATACGAGGCAACGATGCTATCTAATAGTGAAAACAAGAGGAAGAACTTTGGTGCTATGTAAATGAGCTGAGCTTGAGTCAGCCCAAGGCTTGTTTGTGTTCTGGCTCGTTAAATTTTTGTTGTTTGCGTTCGACCTGTGTCAAAATGGCTTATAAGTAACATGTTTTTATTCAACTCGATTCAAGCTCGAATGTTTAAATTAAGCTCATTTTCGACTGGAATTGGAGCTCAATAGCTAGAACTCACACGCGGGCCACGCGACTATGGTGCTCGAAAGAGGTATTTCCCTAAATTTAGGCACCTCTAAGACGGTAAGAAAATCTCTCATAGATACGTGAGACCAAACAATAAAAGAAAATTAGACCATGAATTTATTGATTGTATTTTCTTTTCCTTTTTTTTTTTGGACCTTTACGTACACACCAGCCAGTTCCTACATTTTTACATATATAATACTTAAACAAATATAAGAGAAGAGTGGGGTTGTGAGATGGGATTGGGCTTACGCTTTTTTTTTTCTTTTGGACATTTAAATACATACCAGCCAATCCCTAACTATTTATATATATAAATCCTAAGTTTTACTTTTTGCATTTATACCACTCAAATCTTCTATATGCATTTCTCTTAAATATATTATAAAAATTAATATAGAACTAATACAAATAAATATTATTATTTAATTATTTTGAGTCAAAATGAGCCAAACATGAACAAAAAAAATATTTGTTCGTATTCAACTCATTTATAAATCAAATAAATATCTGTACGTGTTCAGCTCGTTTATAAATCAACTCAAAAAAATTATTTGTGTTCGGCTAGCTTGCTTAACGAACGAATCAAACACGAGTTATTTGCCAACGAATAGCTTAAACCTATGCATTAAAATGTGTATTTCACTTTTTAAAAGTGGCAATTGTGTTATTTTTGATGTGGCATTATAGATTTAAGTGTTATGCATTTAAATATAAAAATTTAGGTGTGAGATGTAAATATATTAGAATTGTATGCTATGTATGTAAATGTCCCCTATTTAAAATGTTCAAGTAGACTTTCCGCTCACATAAATGCCATCATCATAAGTATGTTTTTGCACATGAGATGAACTGTGGGTAAAAATTAAGAAGTAATCCTCATGATTTCCATGCCCAATGAATGCAAGATTTTAGATTTGCGTCATTTAGTGCCTTTCACACATGCATACGCACAAATACAATTATACGCTTTTACAAATTGTATAATTCATGACCATACTTTATAATATGCATTAGTAGTATATATGGAAGAGAAATGCTATTCTTTGATAAAAATCTACATAAATACTCATGCCACATCATCAGTAGCATGGGAGCATCTGTAGAGCTCTTCCCAACCAAAAGTGGGTAGCATTTTCTAAAGGTTAATTAGTCTACTTGTAAATATGGGTGTTGACCTCATTTTAAGGTCTTTCTTACTCTTTCTTCTGGTGCTTAAGATCTAGCCTTAGGACTTTTCTTTGACCATATTAGAAGCCTAGTGTTGGGACCTACCCCGTTTAGAAATTCAAACCACTTCTTGACTCTTCTTGGGGGTCTCACATGTGTGGTTTTGGACTAACAACACTTGGCTGGTTGAGACCAACATGTTGAAACCCAAAGAGGGTTCCTATAGGACCTTTAAGCTCTTGGGTGACCTTGTGCACTCCTCATTCGCATCACCTACGTTTGCATACACTTCATCGATAATTACAATTGAAATCAATTTCAAAATGATCAACCATGAACTAAAATTCGGAAAAAAATAAATTTGACACATTATTTGACCTAATCATCGACGAGCTTGTCCAAACGACCCCGGATGACGAAACGGACCGCGCGAGCGCGTCCAAGACGTCGATTTCACTTAGGCGGGACACTCATTTTAATATAGTGGGCGAACCAGTGAATTTTGAATATTAAACATTATAAAAAAAAGAAAAAAAAAATAATCCCTCACTCGGCCCGTCCCCCTTACCACCGATTTAATCCCATACCACTTAATTTCCATGCATTTACTTATCTAACACCTAAAATTTGATTACATTTCTACCAACCAAGACTTTCATATAACATAACTGTTTGTTTTGAGGTAGATCTAGGTGTCGTTTCGTGGGCTCGATATCCGTTTTTTGGAAAGGATTTATGTACCACTTTGATGCTGATTCGTTGACTTTTTGGATGCTGTTTGCGTACTGTTTTGGAGATGGTTTGGGTATTATTTGGGCACTGTCTTTGGAGATATTTGTGCGCCATTTGAGTGCTGATTTGCTTGTTGTTTTGGACTCTTTACATTTTACTTTTTGGGCTGATTTTCTAACTATTTTGGAAGAAATACATGCAGTTTTTAGGCTGAATTGCTTATTATTTTGGAGCCTTTACATGTTACTTTTTGAACTGATTTTTTAACTATTTTGGAAGGAATACATGTACTATTTGGTGCTGATTTGAATGCTATTTTAAAGAGATAAAAATGCCATGTGGAACCTTGTAAACTCGTTCTTCTTGGAAAAGATAAAATTTTGATTGAAGTGATGTGAATTCATCATTTTGGGAGGGTTAAAGTGCAGTTTTGAACTTTGTAGATTCATTTTTTTTGGAAGGATTTCATATGCTGTTTTAGTGCTTTAAAGGTTGTTTTTGGACCAATATTCATGCTGATTTGGATGCCTTAAATGCAAATTTTGAGCCTGATACATATGCTGTTTTGAGCACTTTAAATGCAGATTTTGGTTCTGATACATATACTGTTTTTGAGCACTTTAAATGCAGATTTTGAGCCTAACATATATGTTGGTCGGGGCACTTTAAATGCGGGTTTTGAGCCTGATACATATGTTGTTTTGAGTATCTTAAATCCTGATTTTCGGTTCAGTGAATATGTTGTTTTAAGTGCTTAAAATGTTCAATACAGATGTTGTTTGGAAGAGGATTAAATGCTACATTTTGGGACTAATTTGATTGCTATTTTGGGAGGATTCAAAAATTTTTTAGGCTGATCTACTTGCTGTTTTGTCTCTTTACTGATTTTGGAGGTGGGTTGGGCTCCTTTTCTTTTCTTTTCCTTTTATTTTTTTTCTTTTTTTTTCCTTGCTTGATGTTTTATGTTATGTGCTTATATCCAAATATAAGTGCATATAGGGTAGGGATAGGTGAATCATCAAGCAGAGCTATAAGTTGGATGGTTCAATGTTTAAGGGTGATGATGACAGTGCTTATGCGTGCTAAGGTGGGATGATAGAATAATATCTCCAGCCTCGATGACCTTCGATGAGGGGAGAGCAGGATCGATGCTACTATTCACCAGCTCTTGGTGTGAAGTTGCCTCTTGCTTTCTTAGTTTGCTGGTAGTTCTAGCCCGGATTAGGTGAATAACTCGTGGACTATCTAATTTGCCAAAATACTCGCACATAACATAAAAGAAAATATACATATACTTTTCTCATAACAATACTACTTTTGACTGTTAAGTAAATGTTCAATCCTACATGCATGACCAATTGAGAATTTTGGGGGCTAACCTTTATAAATCTAATTGTAAATAACTTTGATTAGGCCAGGAGTTGCCCTCCTTAGTTTGCTTGATTGGCGGCTTCTATCCAGGGTTGGATTGTAAAGCATACAACCCAGCTCTGAGCTTATGCTAAACCTGCATGCTTATGGCCCAGTTTGATCCTTCACATATGTGTCACTTTTTTTACTTTAATTGCGACATTTGTATGCTTTTACTTGTGATGCTGACATTTTTGCAGTAGCGAAAAACTTCCAGATACGTAAATTTATTTTACATTCATTGCATTTTATTGCCTTTTACAACACTGTTCACTGCATTTTTACTATGCCTTTGCTATTCTTTTACCCATGCATTATTTACTTACAATACCTGTAAAGCTCCTAGGGTAGAAAACAGTAGGACACCGTTTAGGAGCTACCCTGCTACAAACGTTCAGACCCAACAATAATTGTACATGCAAATACAAAACATAAATCCTAAGCCTGAAGCCGCGCAACAAGGAGCTTGAAACAAGCTACAGATGAGAAAGGACAACTTCAGAGACAATCGACATTCAGTAGTGGAGCGGATCTACTATGACTAAACATTTTCTTAGTCTTAAATAATGACAAACTCATAGGGCTTCGAGGTAGCTCGCCCAACGCGACGTAAATCCTCATATCCTCTTTAGGACCCTGCACAACTATGCTGTGCAACATAAGTCCTAAATCTCTGTAGGTTCTGAGGTTGTCGTTCGGTAAGACGTAAACCCTTTTATCTCCGCGGGCTATTTGCATAATCGGCTATTTGCATAATCTTGCATAATCGGGTATTATGCAAGTGTAAGTCCCAAATAATAAAATTGGCAGGATTAAACACTTACATAACATCGTTTTCAAAACACAACCAAACAATAGAAAAGTTTAGGAATTAGCCGAGGTTTTCTTCGAGATCTGTGACATCTCATATTTTTTATTCCTTTGGACTCCAAAAATAACCGTTCATACTTGAGTCACTCCCACTTGTCTTTTCCAGGTCCATCCTTGAAAATCTATATTTTAAAATATTGAAGACAGAATTACTGATTTTAATCAAGAGTTTTCTTGAGTGACTTCAATCATTTGAGATGTAATTAATTATTGGGGCTTGCCTTATATGAAACTTGAAACCCTTGTAAAATAAACAATATCTAATTTTCTTTATTAGGTAGGCCACACATAAAAGATTCGCGGACCAAACATATATTATGATTTATGTAGTTTATATAATGAAGCCCCTTTTGCCAGATAATATGTTTATATCTTGGGATGAGCGTATTGCTTGTAGGGTGGTGCTTGATTATTTAAACTTTGAAGTATATGAGATCCATCTGGTCTCATTTTTCAAAATTAAAATGTTATTTTCAAAAATCAAAATTACATATATTAAATTAAATCAATCATTTTTAAAATCCCGACCGAAACAAATCCATGACCGACAATGGGGTCCAAATCTTGATGTGGATTTTTAAAGAAATGCTGCAATACTCATCAATATTAATAACTAATTGACTATTTATTAATTTATACTTGCATAAAATATTTTTTGATATTTTATTTGCCTTTTATTCATTTATATATTTCTGATAATTAGTTTGGATTTATGCCAAGCAGGTATATTATGGAAGTTATACATTTTTTGAGAGGTTTGATGGAGAAGTATAAAGAGATTAAGTAGGATCTACATTTACATATGATTTTTATTGATTTAGAAAAAGCTTACAATAAGGTTCCAAGAGATATTTTTTGGAGAGTTTTAGAGAAAAAATGTGTTGATATGGCTTATATTTAAGTCATTAATGATATGCATATTAGAGGTGTTACTTCTATTCGAACGCAACGAGAATCGACCAAATATTTTTCCATTTCAGTTGGATTACATCAGGGACCGGCCTTATGCCCGTATCTTTTGCTTTTGTTATGGATGCTCACATTTACAGGGGGATGTACCTTGGTGTATGCTTTTCACTGATGATATCCTTCTTCTGGATAATGTAAGAGAAAGTGGTCAGGAAAAACTTGAATTATTATGGAGGTCTGCATTGGAGTTTAAAGGCCTCCGTTTGAATATAACTAAAACTGAATACATGGAATGTAATTTTAGTAGTAGTAACTCTAGTAATAAAGTTGTAACTGTAGGTGATCAATTATTAAAATGTGAATGCTTTAGATATCTCGGGTCTATTGTTCAAAGCGATGGGGATATTGATGGAGATGTTTTTAGTAGAATTCAAGTTGGTTGGTTGAAGTGGAGGAATGCTTCTGGCCTATTGTGTGATAGAAAAGTATCACTTAGACTGAAAGGAAAATTTTATAAGATGGTGGTGAAACCCGCAATGCTCTATGGTGCAGAATGTTGACCTTTAAAAGAGAAGCATAAAAGTAGTTAAGTGTTGCCGAGATGAGAATGCTTAGGTGGATGAGTGGCTTTACACTTGGAGACAAAATGGGAAATGAATACATTCGTGATAGGGTTGGTGTAGCTCTAGTGGCGGACAAAGCTAGAGAGGGTCATCTAAGATGGTTTGATCACACTAAACGTCGACTATCTGATGATCCGGTTAGGAGATCAGATGTTTTAGATTTGACTTATGTTAAGAAAGACAGAGGTAGACCTAGAAAAACTTGGGTATATTGTATAAAAAATGATCTTAATTTATTAGAATTAAATGGAAATATGACACTCAATAGGACTCAATGGAGAAAAAGAATTCATGTAGCCGACCCTATTTTGTGGGATTAAGGCTTGTTGTTATTGTTGTATTTATTTAGTATGCACTTACATGTGTGTTTATACCATTGTTTTCAATTTTGATGATTTTGGTCCTCTCGAGTTGTTTTTGGTTAAAAATGATTTGAAATCAATTAATATTTTTTGTTTCACCTCTTTCCAGGAGGTTCAACTAACGCTAGCGAGTTTCAGTGATGTTTTAAATGAACTTTGGAGTTTCATTCGAAACTAATATTCTTTGAAAAAACTTCATTAAATTCTTGAGCGGTTGTCGAACTTCTATTAGACGTAGTATTCGATTACTAAGAAGACTCATCAAATTTCATGTGTTGTTAATTAGATAATTTCATTTTATTTATACCTTAATTATATAGCTTTAATAATAATAATAATAATAATAATAATAATAATAATAATAATAATAATAATAATAATAATAATAATAATAATAATAATAAAAGCAACCAAGGCCTAGTTTAATTTTGAATCTTAAAAGCAATGATATTGAAACTACTAAAACCGAAACTACCACTGACCTCAATAAACTAAATATTTAAAAAAATTGGCTAATAGAATAAACATAAAAAAAATGTAAATGTGATGCATACCTTTGTGTCTGTGTATAGAAATATATAAAAATTATATGCACCCATGCATCGTATTTATAATATATTAAAGCCAAATATGTTGTAGAGAGAGAGACAGAGAGATCAAAATTAAATTTTTTAGACACTCCCACTCGCACTTCTTACATAACCAAACAATAGAAAAAATGCATCCTATAAAAGTGGTTTGCATCATTGCCTCTCGCTTACAGACAACCATATAAGCCCATAACGTTGCTTTTCAATGATTTTATTAAACGATCTTGTTTAAACAGTGAAATGCATCATCTCTTAGGTTTTGGTTAGAAGAGTCTCTAATTTGGCTATGGTTGCTTTACTTGAAGAAAGCCAAAATATTTTGCTGCCAAAATTTAGAGTTTGTGGTTTGAAATTACTTAATTTTAATATGCGTCAAACCTTGCATTTTTTGGCCTTCATTTGGAAATTATGGCTGAATTTAGAAAAATGTGTTTGTTCAATTCCATTATTAACTCTGAAGAAGATTGTCAAATATGTATATTTCTTGATAAGTCCTTACTCTTCAAGTATTGCAGAGTCCATCTACTTCCGAAGCCTTTCATCCATGCAATTTTTTATCTTGATGCTAATTTCTTTTCATCTACCTTTTTTAGGTGCCGGATTTTATCTAAATGCAACAGAGGAGAAGTGGAAGAACTGGCGCATGTATGATTATATTGTCAAGGAATTGCCAAAACTTCTTGATGAAAATTTCGAACAGCTTGACACTTCAAAAGCCTCCATATTTGGGCATTCAATGGGTGGGCATGGAGCCCTAACAATTTTCCTGAAAAACCTTGACAAATATAAGGCATGTTTTTTGTTTTGATTTATTCCTTGTGTCATCTTGTTTTATGTAGTATAATTGATTGACTATTGTGCTAAATTTTATCATGCACTTGAGGGTCTTTGGCTTCATGCTTGCATACTTACATATATTGTTTAATAAAAGAAATAAAAATAGAAAATCTACACATTCCATGCATCCCAGCGCACTCTCCACGCCTCCACAATTCCATCTCCCTCAGACATGAACCTTTTCTTTAGCAAAAAATTTCTTTGCTCTGTGCTCTACTGAGGTTCGAAATCTCATGAATCCATAAGCCTGTTCACTCTTCCATTCTTTGCTTTCTCCCTCACACTTATCGCCTTTGTTGTTTTGAACCTGCTCGCATTCTCTCTTTCTTACAAACCTTATCTCTAAACTTTCATCCATGCAAAGACCTCCTGATATGTACCAAAGACTCTACCTTGCATGCCTTTCATGAACTTGCCATTCCTGTAACTATTCTGTGTTATGTTTCTCGCAGCTGTTTACACAATTGTGTCCATACCTCACACACCATAGTTGCCAATGCCTTTATACCGCTTCAAACCCATGAATCCTAACCCGCACTTGGCTTTGCTACGTATACTCAGATTCGCTCCTATCGTGTTAGCTTCTCTTATGTGAGAACCTATTATACCCGACAAAATAATGTAGCCCTACATGTAGAGTACTGTCGGCCGTTATTTTTGAAAAGAAAGAATGATTTTTGTAAATATGAAAATAATTTTAATATAAATATGAGTTTTGAAAGTAGCATTTTAATTAAAAAAAGATGAGACCAAACGAGTCTCACATATTAAATAGTTTGGACGGTTGAGCGCGTTAATACTAGTAATAAACTATCCCGATGGATAAGCATACCACTTAACAGTATGCTCAACCAACTAAACTAAGAAGTTTGTGAGATCCGTTTGGCCTGCAAAATCTTTTATGTATAGCCGGCAAGTTCCCCTACCTAATATAAAGACTAGATAAAGTTTATTTTACTTAGGGTTCCAACTTCCCTATAGAGACAAACCCTTATAGTTAATTACATCTTAAATGACCGGGGTTACTTAAGAAGATTCTCTATTAAGATCAGTGGTTTTACCTTCCCGATTTCAAAGTTTAGATTTTCAAGATTGGACACTGGAAAATCAAACGGGAGTGACTCAAATAGGAACAATCATTTTAAGGAATCCAAATGAATGAAGAGTATGATATATCACAGATCCAAGGAAAACCCTGGTGACCTCCCAACTATCCTATTGTTTGGTTTTATATCTTGAAATAATGTTATTCAATGTTTAGTCCTGCAATTTTTTTTTAGAATTTAGGATTTTCATTCGCACGATATTTGATCGTGCAAATAACCTAGAAAGATAGGAGGATTTACACCATACCGGACGGTAACCTCAGAATCCTAAAAGTGGTAGGACTTATAACTGCACAACAGGGTTGTGCAAAAGTTTAAAGACAAAGTGAGGATTTACGTTGCGCTAAGCAAACTACATCGAAGTTCTATGTATTGTTATTTAAATTAGAGAAAATGCTTAGTTGACGTGAACTTATTTTGATGTTACAGATCCATCCTGAAGTTGTTCTTTTGTGTGTCCTCGTCGTGCTGCCTCCGGTGTTTGCTCTAAACTCCCCGTCGTAGCATGTTCAGATTCGACGTTAATTTTAAAGGTACATGTAATTGTTTAGTCAACGTTTTGTTACCGTGTACCTCTTATGAAACCAACTACCGGCCTCCTATTCTAAGGTATAGTGTGTAAAAGTAGCAGTAGCAGGTAGAAATATAGTTGTCAGCCATTTTAATTTTGAAAAGTATGAAAAATATAGGAAAATATAAAATAGTTTTGATATGAATATGATTTTTGAAAATAATATTTTGATTTAAAAATATGTGAGACCAAACGAGTCTCACATTTTGAATAGTTTGGGTGATTAAGCACGATACCACAAGTAATATACTTATCTCGAAGAATAAACATATCACCTGTAGTAGGAATCACCTAAACTAAAAAAATTGTGACATTCGTTTTGTTTTCGAAATATTTTATACGAGGCCAACAAGTTCCTTTACTTATACGAGGATTATATAGGGTTTATTTTACCTGGGTTTCAAGTTCCCTATAGAGTCAAACATTTATAGTTAATTACATCTTAAATGACTAAGATCATTCAAGATGAGTCACTTAAGAAAACTTTCAATTAAGATTAGTGATTTTACCTTCAAGATTTCAAAGTTTAGATTTCCAAGATTGGACATGGGAAAATCAAGTGGAGTGACTCAAAATAGGAACAATTATTTTAAAGAATCCAAAGGAATGAAAAGTAGGGGATATCACAGATCCAGGGGAACCCCGGTGATTTCCCAACTATCCTATTATTTGGCTTTATATCTTTGAAATGATATTATTTAATGTTTTAATCTTGCAATTTATTTAGAATTTATGACTTATATTCGCACGATATCTGATCATGCAAATAGTCTAAAAAGATAGGATGATTTATACCATACCGTACGATAACCTCGGAATCCTAAAGCGTTAGGACTTATAATTGCACAACAGGGTTATGCAAAAGCCTAAAAGTGATATGTGAGGGTTTACGTTGCACTAGGCAAACTACCTCGAAATCCTATGAGTTATTATTTAAACTAAGGAAAGTGTTCGGTGATGTGAATGTGTTTTGATATTGCAGATCCACCTTGAAGTTGTTCCTCGTCGTGCTGCCTACAGTTTTCGCTCCAAATTTCTTCGTAGTTGCACCTTCAGGTTTAATGTTAATCCTATATAACCACTAGGTTTTTCTATACTAAGGTATAGTGTGTAACAAAACAATTAAGCATGCAATATAAAAGAAGAGAACAATAAAATATACAATAAAGAAAGAGAACAATATAACATGCTAAGGGAGCAGTACAACATGCTGGGAGAACACTATAACATATTATGAAATAAAATGCTGCAATGTTAATCAAACCTGTATATTTGGGAAGTCTGCTACTCCTTTAAGCTTGCTAGTATTCACTGTATGAACAAAAGAAACATTGCTCGGAAAACTCGAGAAAATCCACAAATAATCCACGATGGAAAATTCGGGAAACTCGACGAGTAACAGTTCAAATAAAACTTATCAAAACCTCGGGAAAATCCCGGAGAAAAGCGACCACGAGTGCTTTGTCTAAAATTTAATAAAACATATGAAAAAGTCCGAAAAGAGGGGACCGCAAGCACTCTGGTCGGGGCCAAACTCAAATATATATTTGTACTCGATGGACGTCGAAGGCTACTCGGTCACCCGGATGTATGAAGCCCGCCATTCCACTAGAAGAATGTCCTACTGAACCTAACTTAGGAGGATGCTCCTTAGCCCATGTCGATAATCAACAAGTGGACAACCCAATTGCAACATATTTAAAATTTAAGTTTTAGCATGCACATATTTCAAGCATAATAAAAAAAGTCATATCAATTTTTGTATTGAAAATATTTTTTATAAATATTGTATCAATTCTTATCAATTTATTTTATCAATTTTAAAAGGTATAGTTGTCCGCAAGTCGATCACGTCATCGGGCCTAGAACTACCAACAACCTAAGATGGTACGGGCCCCTTCTAGTCTTATGTCGATGAATGATATTTTCATCCTATAGTTCATCATGTCTCAAAATTGAGTCCTGGTGCTGTAGAATAAGTTATCATTCTCCTCGTGCCTTTAACATCATCGCCCTACGCCCCAAAACAAAACCGATCTACTTGCGACTTTGCTTGATGGTTTCACATATAACAAAATGTTATACATGAACACTTATGTATCAGACATAAGTACAGAAAACCGAATCAAAAAACAAAGAAAGAAAAGAATAAAAATTGGGATGAGAGAGAGGAGGAATTAATCCACCAAAAAGATCGAAGGAATAAGGATAAAACAATCCTCAAAGTTATATCAAAAAGATCTAAAAATGGAGCCTAAGATCCTTGAATCAATCCAAGAAAGATATCATTTTCTCAACTTTTTATAATTGGATCAACCCAGAAAAGGTATCCTTTCCAAATATTATTTCGAATCAAATCAAAACGGGCCCGAAAGCTAAGGTGAAGAAAGCTAAGGTGAAGCTAAGGTGAAACTATACTCATGACTTCCCCCATCTGTATGCACTCACACCGAAGCCTGAACCCATGTATATCATTTATGTTTTCCAAACTTTCATGTTGCATTTCCGAACACTTTTCCAAATGACAACTTCATAAGCCTTCAAATCCCTTCATAAGTCTAATTCATATCAGCTTTATAATTTCCCAAAACAAAAATCATTAAAAGCCTTTCACATATCACGAAGGTAGGAGGAATTAATCAGTAAAGGGGAGGAACCACCTGCTTGAAATACTCCATTAAGAAATCACCAATTAAGGCTCACGGATAAGGTCAGAAAAGAGAGCAGAGGGCCACGGGTAAGGCCAAAAAACGCACAACCAAGCTCCAACTATCTCACGGGTAGGAGCTAGAACAAACCAAACCAAACCCTATATAAGAAGCTCACCGCCACAGATGGCAAGAAGGAACCCAACACAACACAAACCCACGGGTAGGGGCAAAGAAGAAGAAAACCTCCACCTGCTAAGCTCATGGGTAAAGGGAAAAAACGAAGGCCACAAGGGCAGCACATACCAAGTAAGGCTCACGGCCAAGGCAACAAAAGAAAACCACCATAGGTATTGCCAATGCATCGCCTTTGATATACATAAGAGAGTGAATGGACAAGCTATTATAGATCACTAAGACCAATCACACATTTTTTCCATAAGGCATAACAATGCTCAAATTAAACATTCCCACATAGAGATAGGTATTGAAATTCATGAATTTTGGGATGACAAACTTGATTACCCATAAAAAAAAAATTCACGAAGAAAGTTTCATGAAGAACTTTCAACCAAACCGGATCCGTCGAAGAGCTTGATTTAGCCCACCAAAAAGGACTAAATCAGAA